AAAATTCACCGAAATATATTGAAATTTCATGTCATTACATGGGAATTTTTCGAAATATCACCGAAATTCTATGTTTTTAGCTGGAAATTCCTCGGCATTACTAAAATTCAGTAAAAACTGAAATTTCATGTTGGGAATTTCAGTGTAATTTCATGTAATTGTTTAAAATTCCTCCATGTAATTCATTTAGGATTTCGTGTAATTCGATCGGAATTTCACTAAAATTTCACGTAATTCGAGAGGAATTAAAATTTAATGTGAATTCTATGGAAACTCCGCAAAAATTTCACATCTAATTCCTTTTTCAGAATAACATAATTATTCTACCGAAATTCCTCAAAATTTCACTAAATTATAGAATTCTGAGACTTTAACAGATTTTTGGGGATTCCAAAGGATATTTGGGAATTTTAAAGGAAATATTTTTCAGAAATGTCAATGATTGGGTTTAAAATAACCTATAAATCGAGATTTGATAAAAACATATAGCAACGCTGCTCATGATACAACAAACGTCAAAAAATTGAAATATCAAAGTAGGCCTTGGTTTTTTTGACAGTCGATATAAAATGGCGTCTTTTTGTTTCAAAGATTACGAAGGGCCGGACAGTGGCGTAGGCGTCGGCGATGTCGGCGACCGCCGACGGCCTCGCGCCCTAAGGGGCCTCGCAAAAAATAGGTTACCGAACCTGAAAATTGGCACTTTTCAATTTCCTAAAAGACCTCAAAAAATTCTCACCTTCTGTGGTTATCCTTCGGATAAGGTTTCCATACGTCCGGATTAACCCGGGCATGTTTGGGTTTTTAAGGTGTCCGGGGAAGTCCGGCCGGAATTTGGAACAATGTCCGGAAAACTCGGAGATCGTGAAAACAACCTAACTTTGTTAAATATTGTAATCGTTACGGTACCGTTTTTTATTAATTTCTGTGAAAATGTATTTTTGCGCAAAATAAATAAAGTTCATCCTCTATAAAAAAAATTAATTATTTTTTCTACTAGATACCGTGCGTAAAGTACTCACTCTACGCACTATTCAAAAGACGTTAAATTCCACCTCACGCACTATAGGCTAGTAAAACTAGGCTAATTTTGAGGTGAACCTCAAACAAATTCGCTACAAGCTAATTTTTGCGTCATTGTGTTTCTTTTGAGGTTTTATATAACTAGCTAAAAATCCCAAAAAATCCGATAGGGGGCGCAACCCCAAAGGTACATTTTTTAGGTTTTTTGCAATTTTCTCAAAATCAACAAGTTTTTCGAAAAATTTGCAAGAAACCTTTTTTGTGGAGCATAAAATTTGCAATTTTTTGGTATACTATACTTTATTATTCAAATAAGCTTAAGATATAAAAAAGTAAGATTAAATTAAATTTGTATTGGTTTTATTTAGTGACATGTACTTATATTACTTTACTGGTGTTTAGAATTCGGAATATTTATTGTTATAAATTCTATGTAAAATATTATGTATACTTTATTGTATTTTGTGCAACCGTCCGCGAATTTCAATTTCGCGGCCGTCACACCTGACGTGCAAAATGTGTCAAATCCATACAGTTTTTCTGCAACTTTTGACCGCGAAACTTTTTAGCGTCCTCGATAATTTTTGTCTACGTACGCTAAAAAGGTATTTTGCGGCCTTGGTAAACAAATAGCTATTCAAAATTTATATAATTTTTTAACAGCATACCTGTCTAAGCTAGTACATACATATTAAAATAATTTACATATTCGATAAAATATTAAATACAAAGAAAAAATATATAAATGGACCTAAAACCAAAACCACAAATTAAAACGTTATTGTACAAAAAATCCTAATGAAAAAATTAGCATTCGTCTTCTTGAGACAAACACACATCTGTCATTTAAACAGGATTGTCCTAGGCAATAACTACAGCTTGCAGTGTATTTTAAATTATTTTTTCTGCAACTGCAAGACTTTGTGCAATCCGACTTACAGCCACAAAACAAAAATTTTTAAATAAAATCGGGTGCGATATCTTTGAAAAAAAATTGTGGCTGTAGGACGTTGTCAACTTTGACCCACTCCCAATTTTCTGGATTTAATTCTCTGCCCATCCACAACTGTATCTGAAGATAAACTCTCTTCAAAGTTGCACAGTTGGGTATACCATTGGATTCGAAATTTTGTACTCTACAAAAAACGCACCTTGCACTTTTTTGTTTAAACTTACCGTTTTTGAGAAAATTCCAACAAACCTAAAAAATGTACATTTGGGGGTGGTTTTGGGGTTGCGCCCCCTATTTTGGGATTTTTAACCCATTATATAAAACACTAAAAGGAACACAATGGCGCAAAAATCAGCTTGTATCAAATTTTTTTGGGGTTGCCCACCTAGTTTTACTAGCCTACTAACGTAAAGTAATTCACTTTATGTAATGTCAATGACCGATGTTGACACTGTCATTTTTTTCTAGTAAATTACTTCACTTTACGCACTAGTGCGTGAGGTATTTGTCTAAATTTATTTTTTTTACACATATTTTATTGGTAGTAGAAAAAAATTTGCATGCAATAGGTACATGTGTAAAGTCAACCCTTTTTCATACTTGTTGCATAAATAGTTATTTCGGCGAAGTCCGAATTTTGTCTGGATTTCTTGACCCCTTTGTCTTGAATTCCGAAAAACCTTTATGGAAACCCTACCTTCGGAGGGCTTGCTGGCGACTCACTACCCGTCCCTGACGTTATATCCAGTTTTTTCACAAGAGATATGGCCACCCTGCAGTGGCGGATCTATGGCACCAACCATTCTGGTGGGGGGGGGGGTAGAGCTTCTCAACCAGTGGCGGCTCGTGGTCTATACCTTGTCGCGAACTAGTGAATTTATTATTACTTATATTATCAATAATCCTAATGTTCGCTACATTTTCTCTTCTACAAGTTCCACCATCTGTGTAATTGAGTCAAAAGTTTTATTATAACAATACTTTATGCTGTTAGGGTTTAAAGACGATGCCGGCTAGAATTATTATATAACCAATGTCCTGTTCACACCAATTTCTCAAAAGTCGGTACTTCTATTGCAGAAACCCCAATTGTTGTTAATACAAAACACTAAGTCAAATACATAGTTAGGGAGACGACCGCATTTTTCCTACCCCGATCGAGTTATGTGTCGACACTATTATCAATATATAGTATTATGTGCATCTATTAACCTGTATTCCTGCCTGAGAGCAAATGCTGCAGGAAATATCTTTTAACAAATTATTAACAAATTGAAAAAAACGTAACACTACCCCGATCGAGTTATGCCCTAAGTAGGGTATCAGATTGAAGGTCTCGATGTCTCCATCTAAAAAGTCGATCCTGCCTCGTGAGAACTTACCGGAAAAAGGTGGCAGGGCAGCTTATTGGAGCAAGGGCCCGCGGTTTCAGCTTTGACACCTATCAAGTTTCGCGCTGAATGATGTGTCAAATTAAAGGTGTCAATAAGTTGATTTAAGGTCTCTTCGCACAGAAATCCCAAACCAGAAGGAATGAATTTCATTGTTTGAAACTAGTTTCCTGACTGTTTCCAACCAATGAAATTCGCTCTGACGGCCTCGTTTGGTTTGGCTACGCCACTGGGGCCGGAGTATTGAAATCAGTTAACAATGAACGGGTTCGCTCGGATAAAACTTTTGTCGCACGACATTTCGGCAATATCGACAGATGTCATCTGTCAAATTTGACACATGTTTGAGTTTTTCCCCGCTCTACTATAAAAGCTACGAAAATCAAACCCCGGTACAAGGCAGTTTCACGACGCCAACTATCGATTTGTGTCAAAAAAATTTGACAGCTGTCAGCGTCAAAAAAGTTTTATTTTTATTTTGCGAATTTCGAGAAAAAAAGTGGTGGAAAACGATCCCCGGACCCCAAAAACCTTAAATAAAAATTCCAAAAAAAGACCAACGAAAATGACATTCCAAAACTTACTTGATAAAACTAAAGTTTTTCTCACTTACCCCGTTAAAACACTGGAAATTTTTGGTGGAAAATGAAGAAAACTCAAAGCCTCGTACTTTAAATCAGTTTTCCCGACTGAAAAAGCCCCGGAAAAGTGAAAATTCGTAGAAAAACTGAATAAAAATGTAAACACGTTAATTGAAAATGGCAGACTGTCAAAAATGCTTCCTTGATTGAAATTAGCCACAAGCGATGTTGCCACATCAAAAGCATTTTAAATACGATTTTGCCAATTATGGCATTTAAAACTAGAAATTCTTACTAAAAAATGAAGAAAACTCAAAAATCGCTTTTTTCCATTAAAAAAAAACCCGGAAAACTCGAAAATTCGAGAAAAAACTGACAAAAAATCACAAGACCTCATTCAAAATGGCCAACTAAAAACAACGACGTTGCCACATCTCATAACGGAAAACAAAAATAACATTTTAAAAGGGTTTTTTGTTTAAAATTCAATTTAATATTTAATTAATAATGATTATAATAATTAAAATTCCCCAAATAAATCATAGGAAACTTGTTTTTAATTTAATTTCAATGAAAATGACATTACAAGGTTTCCTTATTGATTATAGTGAGTAAGACAAAGACAACGATAAAGTAGTATATGTTTACAAAAACCTCCGTTTTATGAAAAAAGTAAAAATCTTAAGAAAACCCCATAGAAAATCAACATTCCAAAGTCAATTTGATAAAACTAAAGTTTTTGAATATTCCCGACATTAAAAATCAGGAGTAAAAAATTGAGATTGAATTTCCAATTTTTTGGGGGAGGTTTAGCCTCTCCTGCCTCCTCTGACGAGCCGCTGATGCTTGAAAGTTTCAAATTGCTGAAAAGGCTCAAAAGTATTTTTCAGGAAGTGATTTTACAAGAATTTTATGATTTACTCAAGTATCAATGAATATAAAAACTCGTTCCAATTTGTTTTAAATCATGAAAAAACCTTCAAAGACCAATTTTGAAACCCAAAATTCATCCACAATACAAAAAAAAATCATAGTAGGTACTATTTATTATAGAAAATGAAGTTTTTGGAAAAAAGAACAACAAAAGTGCATCGGATCAGTTAATCTTTTCAATTATTACAATGGCGTATTATAATAAATCGGACAAAAAAAAACGAAATTTGAATATAAACGGAATTAAAATAGACGATAGGAAGTTTCCAGAAAAATTGAGTTTACAAAGTTTAAAATATATTGATGCCGAGGAGAATAATAATAGTGGAAGTTTGCTGGGGCTGGAAGAAACGGAAGTTGACCAAATTGATGGAGAGTAAGTTGTTTTACAATAAGAATTAATTATATTAACTATTCACAATCCGATGTTCAAAGGTAAAGGTAAAATTTGTAACCTTTCAGTGCCATTTGTTAGGAAAAGGTGATAAATTTACCTTTACCTTTGGACTACGGATTGTGAATAGGATATACTTATAACTATTATGAATTCCTGAAATTTTCAAGGTGCTCAGATTCCTGAAAGTATTTTTGAAAAAATTTCAAAGTTGATTTGTTAAGAATTTCACAAGAATTTCTTAAAAAATTCATAATTCTATTTCTAAGATTTGACTAGAGATTTGACAGATTGACAAATGAAAATTGACTGATTAATTGAAAATTGTTTCAGATCAGTGTTACCAGATTTTGATTTTGAAATTATATGGTACATGAAAGTCATAATTATGTTATTTGAAAAAAAATTATGGTACAGGTCCAGGTTCCTAAAGTTCATAGGTTGATTGGTAATGGGTAATTTGATGACGCATATGGAGTGCGTGACATCAATGAAATGACAAACAGACAATCTGTGACAGTGACAGTTCTTTTATTGTGACGTGCTGTCCGCTGACGTGAGTGAGAGTGAGATAGAGACATAATTATAGGCAACACTGTGCTGGGCTGTCAATGGTCATTCAAGATGGATGCAATTTTTGAAGTTTTGTTAGTCGGCCATTTTGAGGAAAGATGCCACAGTAAATTAGAACTCTGTAATGTTTTTATATAGATTTTCACATTGACATTCAAAAAAATAATATCTCGAAGCTGAACTGCGTTCGATAATACAGGGATTTACGTAATTAAGTTTTCTTGATGTTCTATAGGGCCAAATTTATAGTCGTTCCTTGAATCTTCCTTGAAGTCGCTAGTTTAGAATAGACACTTTCTACTATTTGATAAGTTAGTGATGTCACTTCTAAACGTCCAAGGCTTCCTTATGAAGAGACCTCAATTACTGATTAACAAATTTGGCCCTTAGATAATTTTTAGGCTTTAGGCACGACTTCACTGGTTTGAAGTTCATGTATTTTGCAAGTAGGCGCTGGACTGTCAACGGTCATTCAAAATGGATACCATTTTTGAATTTTTGATAGTCAGCCAGTTTGAGTAGAGAGGCTACGGTAAAGTAGAGCTCTGTAATGTTTTTATATAGATTTTCAGACTGTGGGTTAACATTCAAAAAAATAAAACTGAACTGCGTTCAATAATACATAGATTCGCACATAATAAAGTTTTTTTGATGTTCTTTAGATAATTTCTAGGCTCAAGGCACGACTTCACCGGTTTAAAGTTTGCGTATTATCCAAGTAGGCGCTGAATTGTCAACGGTCATTCAAGATGGATGCCATTTTTCAATTTTTGGTAGTCGGCCATTTTAAGTAGAGAGGCTGCAATAAAGTAGAGCTTTGTAAAATGTAAAAACATCCAAGTAAGTAGGATGGCTGCCAACTTACTTGGTCCAAGTAAGTAAGTTGTCTAATCCAGTCCAGTGCCGACAAAACTTTTGCTCTTGTAATAACTATTATTGATAAGTCTGGCAATAACGTTGATACAATTTTTTGAATTTGTCTTAAATAAGATTTTGTTCAAATTGCACCACTGGATTCAGAGATAATGGACCATCCCGTTACTTTTCGTACACTGTATATGATAATATGCGACAAAAGTAGGGCGTGGCATCTCAAACAAAATTTCGCCTGCGGCGCTGGACTGTCAACAGTTATTCAAGATAGATGCCATTTTTGAATTTTTGGTAGTCGGCCATTTTAAGTGAAAAGGCCTCGGTAAAGTAGAGCTCTGTGATGTTTTTATATGGATTTTCATAATTTTTAGACTGTGGGTTAACATTCAAAAAAATGACATCTCAAAACTGAACTGTGTTCGATAATTACAGAGATTGACATAATTAAATAAGTTTTCTTGATGTTCTTTAGATAGTTCTTAGGCTCGAGGCATGATTTCACTGATTTGATGTTCGCATAGTATCCATGTAGGTACTGAACCAGTGTTGCCAAATTTTGATTTTGAAATTACATTACAAGAAAGTCATAGAAAAAAAAATTATGGTACAAGTCCAGGTTCCTAAAATTCATAAGTTTTCTGGTAATGGGTAACTTAATGATCGCATCTGAAGTGCGTGACATCAATGAAATGACAAACAGACAAACTATTACAGTGACAGTTCTTTTATTGTGACGTGCTGTCCGCTGACGTTAGTGAGAGTAAGATAGAAAAGAACGTCAGTGCCACTGCGGCTCGGCAACCGATCAACCGTCCACGCAACCGGATTTATGACGTCACGCATAACTCTCAAAAAACCTCTAAACAGCAAAAACATGAAAAAATAAAAGATGGAGTATTATAAAGTTAAGAAAAATACAAAGAGGTCAAAATTATGGTAAATTATGTATTATTGCATTCACGTTTTTATTATGTATTTTTCTGCAATACTATGGTACAAATACATAATTATGGTACGCCTGGCTACACTGTTTCAGATGACAAATGACATTGATGAAAATTGATACTAATGATAAGTGACAATTGGGAAATGACAATAATTGACACTGATGACAATTTTGATAATGTTAACACTGATGACATTTTTTTGACAATGATGATCATCTTGATATTGATGACATTTTTTTCAGGCATGACAATTTTAACATTTATGAAATTTTTCGAAACTGATCACGTTTTTTGTCACCAATGAGAATTTTGACATTGTTTGACACCTATGATAATTTTGAAACTAATATATATTTTTGACATTGGTGAGATTTTTTAACACTAATAATGATGACCATCTTGATATTGATGCCATTTTTCGACATTGATGACAATTGTTACTAACGACAATTGACAGTTTCCATTATTGACAAAAAAAATTAATGACATTTTATTAGTAAATGGCGCCAGTTTGACAAAAAATTACAATAATTGACACCGATGACAATTGACACTGATAACAATTGACAATTATTGGCCAATGAAAATTGACACTGATTATAATCAACATTTCAGTTGTAGACTACGTTATCATATTAAAATGAGAGTTTCAAGAAATTAACAGATGGTAATTGACACTAATGACATTTCAGTTGTAAATTTTTTGACACTAATAACAATTTTGACACTAAGTGTTTCTTTTTTGACCTTGCGACATTTTTTTGACACGTATACAATTTTGACACCTATGAGATTTTTTGACACTTATGACATTTTCAATACCAATGACAATTTTGACATCGGTAACATTATTTGACACGTATGACAATCTTAACACCAATTAAATTTTTTGACGGGGATAATTTTTTTTTGACATTGAAGACATTTTTTTACACTTATAAAAATTTTCACATTTTTTGACTATCTTGATAACACTGATGACATTTTTTTGATGATGATAATCATCTTGATATTGATGACATTTTTTGACACTTCTGACATTTTTTGTCACGCATGACAATTTTGACATTTATGACATTTTTGGACACTGATCACATCTTCTAACACCAATAACAATTTTGACACTGATCAATATTTTTGACAATGATGAAATTTTTTAACACTGATGACATTTTTTGACATTTTTTGACGACAATTGACAGTTTCCGAAATCCAAAATCAACAAATGACACTGATGACATTTTTGTAGTAAATAACACCAGTTTGACAAAAAATAGAATAACAATGATTGACATTAGTGACAATAATTGATATCGATGATAATTGATACTGATGACAATTGACAATTACTATTGACAAATGAAAATTACCACTGACCAAAATTAATTCAAAATTGACATAGATGAAAAATGACACCGATGAAAACCGGCACTAATGACAAATGACAATAATTTACACTGATTACAATTGACACCGAGGACAATTATTAGCACTGATGACAATTGAGAAATTACAATAATTAACACCGATGACAATAATTAATTGAAAAATGATAACAATTGACATTTATGACAATTAACAATTATTGACAAAATGAAAATAGAATAAATATTTGACAATTTGAATTTTCTTTAAAAGTCGTTAATTTCAAAAACGTGATATTTTAAATTATTGAAAATCGTTAATGGCAAAAAACGCGAAATTCGAATTTCTACCGGAAAACCGTTAATGTCAAAAATGTGACATTTAATTTCCACTGTAAAATTGTTAATGTTAAAAACTTGACATTTGAATTTTTATTAGAAATCCGTTAATTTGAAAAAAAAAAACATTTCGAATTCAAAATCGTTAATGACAAAATGGTGACATTTATATTTTTCATTGACGTTGAAACAATTTTCGAATTTTTCATGAAAAACCGTTAATGTCAAAAATGTGACATTTAAATTTTTCACTAGAAACAAGTAAATGTTAAAAGCATGACAATTTAAATTTTCTTAAAAGCCGTTATATATTAATTGAAAACCGTTAATATCAAAAAACACGACATTCGAATTTTTTACTGGAAAACCGTCAATGTCAAAAATGTGACATTTAAATTTTGACTGAAAATATAAACTTATTGATGTCAATAAATGTAACATTTAATTTTTTCCTGAAAAATCGTTACTGTTAAAAAACGTGACATTTGAATTTTCACTGGAAATCCGTTAATGTAAAAAAAAAGAAACATTTTGAATTCAAAATCGTTAATGTCAAAATGGTGACATTTGAATTTTTTTCTTTGAAAATCGTTGGCGTTGGAACAATTTTCGAGTTTTCAATGAAAAACCGCAAATGTCAAAAATGTGACATTTGGATTTTTCACTGGAAAAAAGTAAATATTAAAAGCATAACAATTTGAATTTTCTTAGGAGCCGTTAATTTCAAAAAAGTGACATTCAATTTAATTGAAAAACGTTAATGTAAAAGAACGCGAAATTCGAATTTTTACTGGAAACCGTTAAATTCAAAAATGTGACATTTGAACTTTTACTGAAAATGAAAACCCATTAACGTCAAAAATATGACATTTAATTTTCACTGTAA